AAAACGCATTAAAAGGGTGTTGTTTTTATTAAACGTTTATTTCCCTAGTAGGGTTGACGACATGCAATGAAATGGAGCGAATAATTGATTAATCGAAGACACTGTTAATCCATTTGCGTTGTATATTTTGGTACTTTCCAATCCAATTAAGTCCTGCGAGTGACTATTTTAATAGCAGAGGGGGCTACTTAAATCACGTATGTCCAATAACCCGTGTATACTATTTGAGTAACTACTTGCTTATATTTTAGATATTATCTTACTCTGAAATTTATATTTCCATAATTTTTTTGATTATTGAATCAATTAACTTTACGTAAAATTTGTTGGATGAAAAAAAATAATGTATCTATATTTCTGTTATTGTTTCAGGTAAGTTTCTGCTACTGGCCACACCTCCGTGTCCTGTTTTAACGTTGTAAGTTTAAAACAATTAAATTTAAACAATCAACAACAATCATGTCATTCATCGTTCATGAACTCAAGCAAAGGTCCCGTCTTACATCAGCTCATGGCTTGTAATATGCAATCAAACATGTCATTCTAGACAATACAGGTTATTACAGGACACACGGGACACTCGGTCTTTCCTCACTTTTCCGTCATCAAGAACTCAATTAGTTAACACCGTAGTTCCAAACTCCCAACGACTAAACGTAAGAGGACGCCGCTGGCGTCGGCCCCCCTGCCCAGCTACAAATTAAGCTCTCACTGGCGCTCAGGACATGCAGAAATGAACTCAGCTAGTAAACTTTCCTGCCAACCCCCTCCCCCTTTCCTCACTAGCTCCTTTCTGGCCTGACGCGTAAATGCCCAACTTCTACCGTCTCGTAAGTTATTCATATAAACGCACATGCGCGCGTGGATTTACACGGGCACACGCGAGTATCTACCAACGATTGGATTTTAAGTTTTCGCAAACAGCGTACTCGTAGCAGCAACAGTTTTAGCTCGTGGAATCGACACGAGGGCAGAGCGAGTGTGTTTGCGCAATGGTGCTCTGGTCTGTGCAGGGTAACGTTATTTGTCGGTACAGGCGCCGGGATACGCGTGGACTCCTGCACTGTTGACAGATCCTCTTTGGCTTTCGTGTGTCAGGTATTACACCATATCGTTTGGATGCTGGTGAGGATATAAATTCATATGTAATAGCACCTGTTTCTCGAAAGTTAAGTGGTTTTTTTTCAAATTTCATTGTTTTCCATTTCTAACAAAAACAACACTCTCATGTTCACCGTATATTTTCAGTGCGAAGTAAACAACAAATTTGTCGGTCGATCCATTTCTACGAGGAGGAGATGCATAAACAAACTCTATTGTTTCACGGGTAATGAAGCACGCATGAGTAAACATACAAGGACATCAATTTGAACTTTGGCTCTTGTACATTGGATAGAGTAAGAGAAAAGCAGCCATCGATGATCCTTCCCTCTGTTTCAGCTGCAAGCTCACTTGCACATACACTCAGAGCCATCCTTGTTTCTATCCCTTACTACCTTCTCTTTCTCTCTCTTCCTTTGCTAGTGCTCCATTCCGTGAATTCACGACGACGAGCTGCAATTCACGTCTTTTCCAAGGAGCTGTCGAGCTTTCGTGACGAGTACTTTTCGATTCCAAAGATCGAATCTGCTTATGCAAAAAGAGGACGCAAATTTTTCGTCCTGGAGTCACGGATAGGAATGAGGTTGCGTCTCCAACGAGAAAACGAGCTCGAAGAAGTGAGACAGGGAAGGACGAGAGAGCGAAATATATGTAGTAACTCTCGCGACGTGGTGGTAATCGAATCATTCGAATGAACCGCGATTAGTTCTTCAGAAATTCAAGGATGTTCCTTGCGCGTCAAGTCACTTTTCGTATTTTTAATGTGTTCCAAGGTATATGTTTTTCGTCCTAAAAAAAATCATTGTTTCCTCATGGTAGTAACGATAACTGTTTCCGATAGTTTTTTTCTTCAAATGTTAAAAAATTTACTTTAAAAACGAATTTAATTTAGAAGATCAACAAGTTGCCCCATCGTATTTTTCCATCCAATGAATGATCAAATTCCCTCGAAGATGTATGCTTATTTCTGTGAAAAATTAAACGAAGCGTATCCGAAATAACAGGCATCTAATACGTGGTCAATTTAAATAGTTTTCCAGACGTAATGTCGATAATAGCCTCTGCTGGATGATAGAACACGTGGCTTTATTTCTTTCTTTTTTATGAGCGTACAAATTACAAGCATAGCTGGCGTTGAAAAAAAAAAAGATCGATGAAAAAAATGACTCGTGATGATAGTTCTGCGTTGAACGGGAGGGGTGGCGTAATTGTAGACCCATCACTATACTAACTCCCCTTTGCCCCATCATACAGCTGCTGACTAGTTCCACTAGTCAATAAAAAAGAAAAAAAAAAAATCATAAAAAAAGGTGTAAAAATTTGCACGTAGTAAAGTTGGACTAGGGACTACTCCGCAATTTCCTCTCTCCCAATTCAGCTGTCGAACCACATGTTCTCACAATTTTGAAATGTTTATACGGAGCAAGTATACGCACACGAAGTACATTTTTTTACGGTCAATAAACTAAGTACCAGCTCTCCACGCACGTTTGCACGCATCACCCGAGCATAACTGGTCTTCATGGACATCACGTGTACCAAGTGGGCGAATGCATAAATATTTCCTCAACAACGAGAGTCTGGTGAATGAACCGAGCTTGAATTATTCATCACGACATTTCCATTTCATGGCCACGGAGCACTATCCGTTTAGCTTATCATCCATGACGTCGATTTCACAGAGTACATATCATTTCGAAAAAAAAGTACTTGTTTGTACTCAAAGAAGCGAAGAAGCAATTTTGAAAAAAAGTGATGAAAATCATTCTCAACATGTTGAGTATTTGTTGAAAAAAATAGTAGAAAGGCTTATACTGAATACTGATTAATTGATTGTTTTTAAAGACGTATTATTAAACACCTACACCATTTGTACGAACGACGAGGCAAGTAAGTCACACATATTTTCACCAATACGTGCAAGCTTGCGACGGACCCAAAAATTTAAAGCCAGTCGAATACCTTGAAAATTCTATTACCATCTTCTCAAGAAATAACTGCACACCTTATAAGCGCATGGAATTATTGCAAAATGCCTCGTTTATGTCCATGTTCCGAGCACATTTTCACAATAGTATGCTGTACAAAAAAAATGTAAAGATATCCAAACAAAACGCTACGGTCTACTCCCACTCAAAGAAGGAAGAAAGGGATGAAGGAGAGGGCGTTATTCATGGTCTCGATGCCGGTGAAGTGCTCGTATAAATTCCAAAACGTGCCCCTAGAAGTTATTAGTACCCGAGGGCGTGGATGGGGGCTGAGTCGAAATAAGGATCCCACACTATAGTAGCAGTGTTTTCGACGGAAAGCCAGAGAAGTGATAGCAGCAGGTGTCGACGCTCGTACTTCTCTTGTTTATGCCTCATTAGTCCCGCTCGTTACATTGGACCTCAACCATACCCTGTAAACGGAAATCTCCCTTGTGCATTTTCCAAGCTTCTTTCTCTTCCACCTTCCATTGTCCGCGAAACTATACCCAGTTGCAGCTGTTCTCGTTGCTACTTGCCGTTTCGTAGCAAATGAACGTTTTCACGATGTGAACACGGTCTCACGTATCGCCCCTTTTTTCATACGTCTCTTCTACACTATCGGGTCCACAGGAAATTCTTATTCAATGAGCTGAAAAATTTCTGCTACATGAGACTTTACATCTACAAGATCAACCTATCGTAAACGATGTGGTGTGTCACAAATTTTTCAATTTGATCCACAAGCAATTTTCAATAGTAAGGAAGGTGAGTTGGTAAACCATATACTTAATTTCTTTTCTTCTTTCTGCTCTTCTTGGGGCAGCAAACGGATGTCTTGTCGATTTTTAGCTGGAAACGATAATGTACAAAAATGGATAAGAAGGAAAAGTCGTGAACCAAGTTTTTAATGTTCTTGCATTGCAAATTGATCTTAAGCTCTCATCTTTGGCTCTTCTTTTTTATTGCTGAAACACTCTTAAGTATTGTAATTGACTGAAAACTTTGGAGATGATATAATGTATGGTTAGATTCGATCGATTGTTCTTCTTCAGTTCACCTTACAATTAACGGGAGTAACGCCAAGAATGAGCTATTTTAAGGATAGGTTTTATAAGGTACATGTATAAGATTGAATTTGATGCACTTTTTTGCTTGGTTGGCTGATTATTGTAAAATAATAACCTTAAATGATAACTATAAGTGAGTTAGGAATAAATGTGCCCAAAAAATAGTGAAGTAAAATAAATAAGTAAGTAGAACTGTGGACAATTGATGAATAATATATTAAATGTTTATTAAACAATAATAGTGGAATCAAAATATTTTATTACACAATATCATAGAAGTAACCAAGCAAATCTGCAATAACTATATCATTTCTAGCATAGCAGTCGTTAATCTTCCTCCCACTGAGACATATATCGTTGGTCACTGGAAAATATAAACACAAAAAAATGACATTACTGTTCTTGAGAGAAAATTAAAATTTTCTCACCTTCTTTTTCACACATATTTAATGCGTTGTCTAGTTTCTCACCAGTAAATAATCGAACAAGAACGGCTCTCATAGTGTTTCTATCAAAGTATTTTTCACCTGCCATCGTCTATAGTGGAGTAAATGTAATTATTTGTTGCTAAGGTTCTTTTTTAAATAAAATTGGATTGGTCAATAGATAGATTGGTTGATAAATACCTTAGTGGCAAAACAGCCCAAAAAGCAGTCATAATTATCAGTCGGGTGCGTAGAGAAATATATAACATATTTATGTTGTTCTACAAGTAAAAAATGATTAATCATTAATTTCAAAGTGTATTAAACAAATATGTTTTACATATAGTCATGCAACATTGGAATATTACATTTTAATATTATATTATATTGATTTGCTTGCAATTTTAGCATTTAGAAGAAATTAAACACATAAAAAAATGACAAGTTATTATCAAGATCAAAATCAGTTGAAGGATAGCAAGAGTTTTGTACCCAAGTAATTAAATCATTGTTTCTGGCATTGTTTCGCTGAGGTAGAAGTTGGACTTCTTCACTTCAACGTTGGATATTTTAAAGACGTTGTTCAAGCGATCGTCCTTACGGATGGGCTATACTAATGCGTTGGGAAACCTGTAATTCAATTGAAAAATAGAGAGCAAAAGAAAAATACGCCAATCCTTGTTGTAGTTATTTTTCTATCGCTTTCTACAAGGTCTGGGCCTCACTATAGGTACGGCACGATATTCCGTTTTCTCCTGCTGGTGCTTGTATGGACAGTGAGAAAAAAGGAGTGAAAGCTACTATCACAGGACGAACTAGAGCGAAAGAGGAGAAAAAATACTATCCTCTGTCGTCTCGCGCAAGTAAAAGGAAAAAAGAAATCCAAGGGATTAAGATGATACATCGTGGTGGAACGACTCTGGCGTGAACGTGATTCTTTCGTGGTCGAGTTTTTTCCGTTTTTTCGCTTCATTTTTTCTTACCCATTTTCCTCCCTGGAGCTGGCTTTCGCAACTTTTTTTTTTTTTTCTTCTCTCATTTCACCGTGGACTCGTCGTGACCACACCACGTTACAGCCGCAAGATACGCGCGCTCGCAAAGATCTTTCTTCCGCGATTGAGAATTTCGATTTGGCAATGGGTACGGTGACACAGAGCTTTGCCAACGGTCCTGCGAGTAAAAAGTTTTGTGAGTTATTTTTCGCGTTTTCTCGGAATATACATTGCTAAGGATACTGAAACCATGTCGATGACTGGTTGATAGTAATTTTTGTACTTTTATACGGGCGTCTGACCAAACAGGCTTCCACCACTGCGTACAGAATTTGAAGATTTCAAAGCTTCTTCTAATCATCATTAGCCCATTGGCTTCTTCAATCAATGGAGGGTACACGCTTTGATCAACTCAAAGCAAAGGGAAGTAACTTTAGTTTAAAAGCATAGACAAACTTGAACGCCTAAATACAAAGTATACACCTGCTAGTTAATACATCTCGAAGTAGGAAATGGCTCCGGTGTTGGAAGGGCATTAGGTAGAGGGAGTTTTGCCTCCTCGAAGTTTCATTGACCTAGTGCAAATGGCTGCTGACGATTATTACGTTGTCCAGGTACAACCAGTAAATAATGACCTCTGATCGAGCATGAGGAGCAGGGTGGAAGTGTACGTACTGGGCCCGGTATTCAACTGGAGCGTCAATCAGCTTCGATCAATCATGGGCTCGCCTAAATTACAGTACTGAAGGGGAAGAGCGAGATGGATACAGTACCTCTCTCCTCCTCCTCCTCCTTATCTGGCACATAGCTTTGTGCGAGCTCCCTTGCACGTATAGATTGCCACGTGCGTTTACGTACACATATCCCCGAATCTCGCATTTCGCGTAACGAGAGGAAGAGACAACAAGTTTATGGCCCCTCACGGTCTCTCATGATCTATAAAACAAGAGAAACTTGTATTGAGTAGTGCCGGTAACGGCTACAAAGGTCTGACAAAGATGGAGTGTTACGAGTCGCAATAATGTCAAAGCAACTCTGGAATCTCTGGGAGCCAAGTCGACAGCATTTCCCACTATCGCTACACAAGTGATTACTCGAGCGTCCTTTTCGTTTTTAGGATACCAAGTGAGGGGACTTCAGTGTTTTTTTTTTTTTTTTTTTTTTTGAAAAACATTTACGACACGTAAATTTGATGGATTACTTTTTCTTGATGCAGTATTTTACAAAGGCCATCTCAGCCGAATGGTGAGATCTTTGATAAGGAAGAAACCGGATTTCATGTGTGAAGAATTTCCCAAGCTTTTTTGTTCACTGACTTTGAGAGGCGTCGCACGCGTGTGGTTGTCATTTGACAATGCACCTTCAACTCGATGTTTCTGAGTAAGAGATACTTTTACAAATGATCAAAGGTCGTACTTTTGACAATATATTTGATTCTAAGTGTTTTTTCAAACACTCATCAAATCAAGTAAAAAAATAATATTCAAGGGTTTCATAAAACTTTTAAAGACAAATACTGTCAACTTTTTTGTTTGCACCAACAAGAGACAATTATCTCTCCATTTCTCTTTTTGTTCATAAAAATCTCGATTATATAGGGGCTGGATCGACACAAACGAGGTATCAATCCTTCCTCAAGATTTTTTCCTGTCTCGTGAAAAGTAAGAAGAATCGCATTTCGAAGCTCTCCCGTTATACTTAATTTTCTTTCTTTGCCCATGGCTGAAGGGTACGAACGAAAAAAAAATTTACTTTGCCATCTCTGGTGTGACATTGCACGTAGTATATACATACGTGTAGCCTCGCGATTGTCTTCCCATCAGAAGAAAAAGACGCCGTCAGAAAAAAGCATGTTTCTTCTCTCATTTCTTTACGACTGACTCTGCGATCATCGACGGAGAATGGGAATCGCCTAAGGCAAAAAGTATGCAAAAAAAGAGTACCTAAGAGCTTTAAAAGGAGATGGAGGAAAGGCGCGGAAAAAGAAAGCCGAGGCGATAAATCCGAAAGTGGATGAGGCACTCTGGGTAATTATGCCTTAAACTCTCGAGCGATTTTTTTTATTTAGTATAAAGAAGAGACGTTATGTTTTTCAGTGTATGGTAATTATCCGAGAATCTTTTTTATTTTATTAAAACTGGAACATCGCTAATTTTTTGATGCCAACAAATTATTGTCTCGCTTAATTTTAATTTAGTCCAAAGTGCAAAGTTAGATTTCATAAAGCATGACTATTTCTTGGACAATAAATATACTTAATCCTATCTCAATCCGTTGTGTCTATAGGTTACACATTAAATACATTACGTTTATACAAAATTTAAAATCCAATGGAAGGTATGTAATTGCAAAACTTAACGTATCGTAACCATGAAAAATCCCAAGTACCTGATAATAGAAACTGGGTGATAATACTAACACCTCCGGAGCTCAACCCAAAAAAAGAAAAAAACACGTCAGGAACCCCCCAGGCGTGAGTTAGCCGCGCCGTCTTACTTAACCTCTTCTCTCTTTCCTTCGTCCGCTCTTTTCTACGCCATCAATTTTTTCTCCCCAACTTACAAGCTCCACTGCGCTTGGTTTCTCGCCCTAAATAAGGTTTAATATACTTACATGCGTCGCCGTGGAGAGAGACCCTTTACCTTTTCTCGCATACTGCTCTGCAGTACATGGAGGGTGTAATTTTAGGAGTTTAACCAACGCCAAAGTGTGTGCATGCAAGGGAGGAAAAAAGAGCGCGAGGACTGTGTAAAAAGGTACGTGGGCAAGGTCGAGAAAACGGCAAAGAGAAGCGTTAGAGAGGAAAAGCAGCCGGAATTCCCATATTTGCCCCCCTTGGCACACCTAAGCTCCTTTGCATCACTTCCTATAACTAGTATTCCAATCCCTTGCTTACTTTCACCCTTGTCCAGTGATAGACAGCCAACAGTTTTGTTTTGAAATAATTCACCTGACGTTACCATGACGATTAATCCCCTTCAACCTTCGAGAAAATCTTGGCCGATGCACCACAGGCAGAGAGACGTAGGGGAACAGGAGTGACTCCGTATCGGGTTGGGAGGGAAGCCAAGTTAGCGGTAGTGTCAGGCGCACTGCGCTCGTACGCGCCACCCTTCTATCTCCCCCTGCCGCTGCTACTACTCCCAACAACAATGCTCCGGCACTCGCTCATCTGCATAACAATGTTTAACCGAGAAAACAAAGCTCCGACTCCTCCCTCGCTTTGTCCCCCACCCCGACCCCTCTCGTGCGTTCGCGTCGCTGATGTCGTGGAATTGAACGATAAAAAATTACACGCAACCCCTTGCGCGCACAACGCCCGAGAGAGCAAGACAAACGTAATGGCTTACTTTTCGTTATTGTCAAATAAATCAAAAAGTTTATTCAAACCGCAGTGTAGAGCCCACGGGGTAGCTGCGTTTCTGAATATTCATGGGGAAAACGCGAATTTTTTTATCTCGCGCCTAGCGTTAACGACGATTTTCAGCGTGTGCGATGGGTAGCACACAGGGAAAAGGGGGAACAACTCGTCCGGGACTCCATGTGGACCACCATTTTGGATATGGCAAAGAAATTGCCTAATTAAATAATTATAGCACGGTGTTTCGTTACCCCCCCCCCTCTTTTCCTATTTTTCTTAGCGCGACTACGTTAGCGGAGAACCGTTCGTATTTATGAGTCGCAATAACAGTTAATTACCGTGCTGGTGCAAAAGGGGGATGGGGTCGGAGAAAATGGGTGCATAGTACAGGGATGCGAGACAAATATGTCTGCGATTTTTTGTTCCTCTTTATTTTCCATCTCGCGCGCATCTATATTGCTGGCGAAATAAAGAGGGGAAGGGCCGTGCTTTGCATTTTTTAATGTTTGCCGTTTACCGCGTTTCTGTTCGCAGTTGTGGCGGATGATTCACTCGTTTTAATACAAAAGACCTCGCGTTGAAAAATAAGATGGGGTGGGTGTACCGTTACGAATGGCTCTCTCTCTCCCTGCCTTTGTTGCGCACAGTGTATAAAATTAATAAGGGTCCCTCTGAATGTAATTTATGCTCAAATTGTGTTGTTCAAATATTTACAGCGTTATTTTGGTTAACATCAAAAGATGAATGCGATTTGCGTATCCAAAGGAACAGTGTGCGCGATGAAAAATTTTAATGTAGCATTATCTCGCTGGAGTAACGAACGATCCCTTTTTTTCCCGAGGAAAAGCGTGATTAATCAAAAAATGTAAAATAAATTACCGGGGCTCGTGTCGCGTGAACGTGTTAATGTTTTCATTCTCGTAGAAGCAATAACCATAAATTTCGTCCGGTTGATAATGAAAAAAAGGGGGTTCAAGGAGCCGGTGAGAAAAATTTTCTCGCGGCAAGCTCGACGCGAGGAAAAAACTAACGAGCCGATGGAGCGCGAACTTAATATTTAACAGCGCTCCCAACAACCAAATGAGTCGGAGCTCCTCCTCGAGAACAATGGCAATTAATTTCACGAGGGATGAGTAAGTTTCAGCAATCCTCGGAAGCAGTGGCTTATCCGGTCCCCCTCCTTCGATTCTCTCCTCGGCGGGTAATCTCTTAACGGCAACTTCACAAAGGCCTCCTCCGGAAACGCGGAAAAATAACGTGAGGCTTTATCAAGCCAAAGGGAGAAAAACAAAGCTCGAGCAAAAACAAAAAGCCGTGATAGATAACGCCGGGGGTATCGGCTTTTCATCCCCATCCTTTCCAACTGAGGCTCGCGGACTCGTCTCCTCTTCCTCCTTGGCAGCCCAACACGAGAAAGAAGCTCCGCTGTAGGTATAGCTGGCTGGTCGACGACTTGCATGAAGTGCGCGGTGCACTCTGCTGGCGTGCTCGGGGGCAGTAACCCTAAATATTAACATACCCACGCAAGTGAGCGCAGAGAGTACACCCACCGCCGTATTTATTCACCCTCGTCTCGTGTGTACATTCAGAATTGGGATACATTAACACGTGCGTTCTCTGCCTCCCCTATCTATCCATGCCTCGACCTCCTTTGCAGGTCTCTTCGAGCGATGGGAGTATCGGGGGGAAGGAGGGGCTTTGAATTTCGTTATCGGATCAAAATTTGGAGCCACCGAAGGGAAGATGCTTCTATTTTCTTGTGAAACACCGGCTTTTAGAGTTTTCAAAGATATTGCGTTTCTGAGGTACACGGAGGTAAAAAGAGTGGAATGAAGAACCAGAGGGGAGCCCGGCTGTATGTGGAATTTTCAACGATATTGCGTTTCTCCGTAACTTCGTTATTTCGGAAAAAGAAATTTTAATTGCGAAAGAAACCGTAGCTGAATTTTCGTTGATTGCTTTCCATAGGTTTCAGGTAACAGAAAATAAAAAGAACTTTGGCATACAAGTTTTTTCGATAGCTTTTCGATTTAACGGTTGGTGGGAAATTTTTATCCATTGAAAAAATATGTGATTCTTGTCGAAATATCGATAACTATTTTTTTTTGTATTGGTTCTTACAACTGTGGCTTGTTTATTTCATACGCTACAATTTTTCGCAGCAAGCATTTTGCAGAACGTAGATAGAGAAAATAATACACGTAAAGTAAAAATGGGGGGGAGGGATCATAGCGAGCACGAGTAAAGGAAGAATCAGAGGGAGCAGAGTAACGAGCAGGTATAGTCAGTCGGGACATTAAAAGCCGATTCCCGTAAGCTATGAGATTAAGGAAATTTACGATCATTAAGTATACGTCGACGAGTGCTGGGCGCGAAAATCAGGTCTGGTGTAGGTATGGATACAAATATTCTCTTACGTTTGCACAGGTATGAAATCAAAAGTAGAGGTGCTGTAGGTACCTGTGTATGAACGAGTGGAAAAAGTTGAGCAAGAGAGCAGAGGCTAGTCACGCAGTAGTGTAGATCAAGATAAGGTCAGACGGCCGTGGTGATTATCGCGCAGGTCTGTTTACGTGAAAGTGGCGGCGTTTTTCGTGTTTTACAGGGCAACTGCGTGTTTGCCCGTCGAAACTTTCACGGAAAAAACGCCAAAATGGTATTTTCGTGTTTATCGATGTACGATAATTATGTTTTCGGAACAACTTTCTATCTTTCCTAATGAACGGCGAGCCCCCGAGCGAATAATGTTCTCCGTCGTGGCTTGGGAAACAAAAAAAGAAACAGCCAACTGCGTTTTTGAAACTTTTCTCGATAGCCTTCTTCGACGCTATTGGTGGAAATTTTGCTCGCCTTTTTTCCTTCACTTGCAATTAGAGCTACTATGGTTAGACTATAGTTACCAAATGGTATTCTTCAAGAAATTAAATTGACAAACTTGTTTTCAAATGATTGAGAAGAAAATATTGATCAATGACACTTGTTATCTGTTAATTAAATAGTAATTTTTACCGTTACAGCTTATATGTATTAAAAGTACTTAATGATAATCGCATCTCTTTAAATATTCGAAAAATTGTCTTGCCTTGGGGAAAACAAAATCAGCTTTACGTAGAAATAAAGCGAAAGAAATTTTGCTCCCTTCGCATCAAGCTTATCTAAAAAAAGAAGAAAAAATGAACACTGCCTACATCCTCTGCTAAAGCACAGCAAACACCAGCCTGTGCGTTATACACAGACAAGTACTGACTGTATTATACAAGCAAGTCGCTCAAAGAGTAATTGCAAACGCTAACTTTTCTCGCCGTTTGGCCTGCAATTTTTTAATCCTCCCTCTCCCCTTTCCTCGAGCCCCTCAACCAGCCTCTCATCTCTATCCCTCACACGCGACACCTGCACTTTCACCTCATCAATCTACCTGGTTTCTCGGCGCTCGTCTTTCATCCTCTCTTGGCCTCGATCATTTATCCCCGGCCCCTACCTTTCTCTCACAGGACTCCACCCCCGCCCATTCCTCAGAGACAATTTTTTGAATTATGAATTTTTAATGAAATCTTTACTCTCACCTCATCCCCTTGCTCTTTTTTCCTCACTCTGTTTTTTCCCTTTTCACTCCCCATACCTACGTTATTTTGCATTTACAATGGAACTGACTTCCCTCGTTTCACACAGTCGGTAGTTCAAATGAATTAAAGCATTACAGTTAAAAGTTTCCCTTGCTACGACCCGTGTTTCCAGAGCTTTTACGAGAAAATGATATTCGACGCTAAATATCGCGCGAAAAATTGTTTGGGAAAAATTCAATTTGTATCTTGAGAAATGAGCGATGACTCCGAGATAATGATGACAAAGTAAGAACTTTATCATATTTTTGATCGATGTGCTGGCATAAATTTTTCTTTCGTGCCCTGCATTCTCTTTAACATTACTTTGTTTAATCCATGGTAACTCGATTCCATAAGGAAAATAAATGAGAACTTGGTTTGTATGAGTTATGTGATAAAAAAATTACGAATTCACTGTTAAAAGCCTACGAAGCTAGGATTTATCGCGATTCGATTTTCTTAGACTGATTTCCTAAGCAACAACCTGCTATACAATTCAATTTTAATTCGTCAATCGAAAACAGAGTGGTTTTCAATTGCACTTACCAGCCAATTAGACGTTGCAGGATATCCATTTTAGCCACGATACATATTACATGCACAAAGGTATAAATGTCTGACTATTCGTCCGTTTCTATAATAAGCATCGCCCCTACTTTGCTTTTCGTTGAATCCTGTCATCTAAAAATAAAAGGCCTCATCGAACGTGACATCGTAACCTTCGTAGGTTCGTACGCCCCCGAGGAATAGTAGAAAAAGGGATTTTGCTCTCCCTTTTTTACTCCCCACTTTCAGCAAAGAAAAAAAAGTTTAAACAGACCCCGACTCCGAGCGAAAGCTCCCGGAATGATCCAGCAGGCGTTCTCTCTTCCTCCCCTGCTTTGGTTATCGATCGGCGAAATAGCTTCTCGTTACAATCTCCAGTTATTCGAATTCAAAGGAGAAAACCTACCTTCAAGCTCTGAACGTAAAAAAACATCAGATGGGATGATCGAGGGTGGAAGGGTGGGAGCTCCGTCAGCATATACGGGAGTTATCGCGTGTAACGAATTTTATCGTGATCCTACAGGTGCCATCTTTTTTTTTCCTCTTTCCTTTTGCGAAGCCAAAGGAGAAGGATAAGACTTGTCCTTCTAGATGTATCTTTCAGCGATCTCGTTAACATTAAAAAAAATATTGAGGGGTGGGATTTCACAACTTTGTTCTATCTGGTAGATTACAATCAATACAGGTACATGTGACTGGTTGGTTATTCATTTAATTCCCGAAGCTTCTCTCCTTAAGCACTACACTGAGAGCCTTGTATTTGATAAAGTTATTTTTACACAATTTATCTCGCCGAGTGGATAAGTTTTTCTTTTTACCAGTAGTGAGATTTGTTTTTAAAACAATTTCCATAATGAGATTTTTGCGAAAGAAAACCCTCCAAACTATTAATTTTCATTTTGAAACATCAGTTGGATAGCTCACAGCTCTTTGAATAATGAGCCTCACAACTCTTGCTCTTGTTGTGGAATACCACATTCGTCACTCTCATCGCTCGATCGTTTTTCTGCAAAGCATCACTTAGAATCCTTGAGCTTTAAGTCTTTGTTTACACGGATTAGAAAATTTTTTAACTAGATGCTTAACTCAACGACAAAGAGCTGTCTAATTAAAAATAAATAATTTCTTATGACGATGGACATTGATTCTGTACACTTTTTTAATAATCTCTTAAGGAACATTCTAAGACTATTTATCATATAATTAAGAAACAGCATTCTATTAGGATAATATTAACAGTACCCAAAAAACTGACTCAAACTAAACATACTCGAATTGAAAGCTCTACAAAAAATGTTTAATGGAATTTTGTTTGTGGTTCACTTCACAGGGTGGACGTCCGGGGCAAGCCTCTGTCCGAGGCGAGACACCAATCGAGGGACTTTGGACAAAGGGCGTACTTTCGGATGTCCATTCAAGAGCCAGCCGTCCTGGTGATCAACAAAATCAAAAGCCACGAAGCCGCAGTGTACAGGTGCAGGGTGGATTTCAATAAGGGCCAATCTAGAAGTGCCCGGTACAACGTTACTGTTATAGGTGCGTATATTTTTTGATATTTTTTTTTTTAATTTATTGGAGCGAGTTTTGTTGTATGTCGACTTGATGTGCTACTCGACTCTGTTTATTTCTCCTTTACCTCCATTCACGAGCACTTTAGCGTATCAAAAAAAAAAATAAATAAAAAGAAAAAAGAAGATTTTATTCATTTTTCATTCGGTAGTAGTAAACAATACGGGCTTCTGAATATTGAATGTAAAAGGCTGGGGTCATAGAAGCTGTTTTAAAGCGAAAATAAAAGAAGCAATTGATTCCACAAAATCGACAACAATACTGGCTACATTCAAATAAAAAATAATGAAATTTTTTTGCAATGTATCTCTAAAACCAACCCCTCTCCCACAAACTTCCTTTATAATAACCACGTGCCATATCCATTAAAATCCAAGACTAAAACATAATGATGTCGTACTGAGACCTGACAGATTCAGCGATGGAAATGAATTCGTTCACGTAGCACTGCAAGGTGGAGAAAAAGAGGAAAAATAGTTCAATACATCAGTGCGACGGAAGAGTGAAAAGAGAGAGAGCCAAGCGTTCTCCTAAGTAGGGGATTTGAGATCGATGCGCCCGAGGAAAATAAAACAGTGAGTAGTACGAAAGAAACATCCTCCAATAGGCTGACACGAATGCTGGCTGTTGGCATGAAATCCGCTAGATCGTCATCGCAATTCTACCCCCTCCCCCTCTTTTAGCGTGTGACTCGTGCGATTGTTGCTTCGAAGAAATGTATATCGTTATTTTTTTTTCTCCTCATGATACGAGAGGCGCGTGTACAATGCATAGCTTTCTGTATGCACGTACGTTATATGAGCGTCACACCTGCGCTGAAAAAGAGCAACGAGAGAAATGGAAAAAAAAACGGTCTCATCTAAAACTCATCTACCGATGAAGATGCAGCATCACAGAGGCAGCAGAGATAGACAGAGCTGGGAGCAAAAGGCGAGAGGTGTAGGGAAAGGAGCAAAGGCAGGGCTGAGCTCTCGTTAGGAATATAATCCGCGGCTTAATTAAATACGGCGCAATTAGTTCGGAGTCTACGCCAAGAGGCAGTACAGCGCAGCTTGTATAGCCACGTATAATTTCAGGGAGGGATTCCGTTAGTCTCCTTTTCCGCGCTCCTCGTACACTGCAAGTACAGCGGCAGCCGAGAACTGTACGCATACGCCCACGCATTTGGATAGTCACGGCAAATACTGTACGGAGTATCTATTTTTTCATCACTGGTTAAGAATGCGTGAGCAATTCGAAAAGCGAGTTTACGAGCGACGCATCTTTCAGTGCAAATTCACCTTTGAGCTGACGATGAGTGTAACACTCACTATTAGTCTCCATGCTCTCTTTCAGAGCTTGGGTGTGAAGATGGTACATGTATACCCTTGAAGCAAGTATTATTGCTTTGTTGAACTTTTTCCTTTGACTTTAATGAAATTATAATGAAAACGGGTCACTCGTTTCGCACAAAAATGTATTTATATCGATACTCCTACGCATAAAAGCTTTCTCGTCATTTGCCTTCGTAGAACGACCATTTATCAATTTAGTCGGGGAGTAAAAGCTAAGAAAGAAAGTCAGCTATCCTTGACGCAATGAATGTATTATATGTAACTTTTATTGATGTAGAAATCGCTTCAAAAAAGGCTAGCAATCATCCAGAAAATCATAGAGACTCTGTAGAATTAAAAGTTGCTTGGTAAGCGTGATGAGAATTCGCGTTGTCAGATATCAGTTGAAATTTCCATGAAAAATCCAGGGGCGTCTGGTCGAATTATTTCCCTGAATAACGCGAGTGGCCAGTGATTTTCGGCGAAGAAGAAAAAATGAACGGAAGAAAGAGCGTCTGGAAAAAAAGGGGAGAGAGAGGGAAAAAAGTCGTATGAATTTACGAGAGCACATAAATCCAAGGGCCTTGGTTCTGCGAAGGCCAGAGCTCTCTTCTCCCTCCCCTCCGGCGATGATTTCGGGTCCCACCTCCTTTTCGTATACTTCTCCCCGCAGCCATCAAACCACGTAGTTTTTTTTTTTTTTATGGACGCTGTTCTTTTCCTCTCTTTTTCGATCCGAACGATTTTGCTTAGGTTCGCCGGACGCCAGCTCGTCCTCGCTCGGAGCGCATCGTAAATCGCTCAAAAGGCGTCGACAGTGCCGAAACGTGGAAAACCAAATGACGCGGTCGCGTGTAAACGAAATCGGAAATACTTTCACTCGATCAGTCTGTGCTGCGGGATTCCGTGAGAACTTGGACTCCGATAGAGAAAGGGTGTGGCGAGACGGGAGGAAAGGGGGTATTTCATGGGCAAGGAGGATGTAACTCACATTTCTTGGGTTATAACGAGTCTGCCGTTGCTCTCGATTTAAGTTGCTTTTCCATTTTGTTCGCCAAAAAAATAACACTGGTATAATATTCTTAGGGAACCACTATTTTTTAATCTAGAACAATAAAGAAAAAGAAAAATAAACGACTATAAACATAATTTATTGCAACTTTTTTTTATGTAAGAGCCAAAATATCGTAACAAGTAGTACGAGTCGGTTTTAGTCAGACATGGTTTGACATACGCTGAAACCATCCAATTAATTACACGGAAATATGCAAAAATCAAAGATAATCAGTAACACATAAGATGTATTATTGAAATTCGTAGAGCTACGTAAGTAGTACAAAACCGATTCGATCAGACATGAACTTTGTTATCCTGAAAATTTTAGTTATATAATCAATACGGCAGTAGTAAAATAATTTTTGAATGAAAATGCTGTAATATTTATAACTAAGATCCAATACCAAAATTAATAAATGTTATCAGAGTGTTAGCATGGGTTAAAATATTACATTTCATTAAAAAAATTGAAGTTTGTAAAATTTAAATAACCAAAATAAAATTTTCTTTCTTCGCTGGATCAAATAACATAAAAAAATTTATTCCACGGTTATCATTTTATTAAGTTCAGTTGTAGATTGTAATAAAATTCTATTAACTTGCACAAAAATACGAGTCTGCTCTGTAGAATTATGAACGTTGAGAGCTCTATCGCACGAAAAATTTATTTTTGAGGTTACATTCTATCTGCAAAGCGCTCCAACTTTATCCATAAAAATAACGCGCTCACTTTTATGACCAGGAAGTTTTAACGTAGCTGAAATGACTGCAACTTTTTAAACAGCCTTTAACTAACATTTCAACCACGCTTTCGAAACAATGTAAAAAATATTTTCAACAGCAAAGTTTTCTTCATTCTGAAGCTGTGAAAAAAAAAAAAAAAAAAAAAAAAACACAACAACTGTATGCAACATTAACCTTCTTTTCTGCATAGAGTAAACGCAGTACCTCTTTCTCGTCCAGATCCATTTTTCAAACGAAACCTCAAGGCACTTCCGACTATCTATTTTCTATCTCAAAACTAATCCAGCCCAAACCCTGTTGGAAAAATCCATCTAAAAAAGTTGGACAGAAAGGCAACTGCAGTAGCGATGTAAGTGGCATTGCAAACGTGAAATCTTCCAAAAAGAAGGAAAGAAAGAGGACAAATGTATATGTGCTTGTGCTCGATATCCGCGTTCAATTTCCCAACTAAATTGGATTCCGGCGTTTACACGCGAGGACCCTCCAACGCACGCGCTATTTATACGGATCTCTGCACACACAAGCGCACGCCGTCCCTTGTCACCGCTACAACTGCGCTAAATACATATTTCCTCACCTCCCTCTCGCTCCTTTGTATGTGTTTACAGCGAATAACAAGTTGAGCATTGCGGCGCCGACCGCATCATGCGGTTCCTCGGGTTCCGGCTCCACTGAAACATACACAGCCTCGACAGCTCCTGTCTTCCAAGGCGTGATAAAGCACCGGCACTAACTACGCGAATTATTCCCGTAGTGGGCGGGCTTTCGAAGAAGCTCGTCGCGGGCGTCGTTGTCTCGCGCTCGGGATTAACTGCTCGCCGTCTCTCTTTCGCCGGGACAAACCGGGGGAGGGGGGGGGGTGAATTATGACGGGCAAAATGGCACCAGCGGGCGATGAGCGCAATTTCAAAATTGCCCCGGTTGAGCGCCGAAAAGCCGTTTAAGCACGCAGGACGACGCCTCGACGGAGGGTAGCGCACTCGCGCATAAATATTTCGATATTGAATCCTCGTGGCTTTTCATTAGTGGGACAAGGGGAGGCGAGGCAGGGCTCCAAACTGGCGTCAGTTCGTGGGTAAGATATTGTCAGCTCGTGAGGCTGCTAGAGTCAGCGATTAAGTTGTTGGAAAATGTACATTTTATGTTTTTTTTATAATAATTTTCCACTGCTACGGATAAAGCTCTGGGCTGGTGAATTTTATGCTCCTCGAGGGGTGTACCTCGCGTGGGTTTACTTTTTCGTTTTTCTCGACTCTCAAAATGATGGCAAAATTAATATTGACTTGCTTGTTTGTAGCTTTTTTTTGCGAAGAGGGCTTTTGGGAAAACTTGGATACGTCAACGTAGTCAGCTTTCAATAAAAATCTGTTAAAGCTTTGACTTGGCAGTATCAAATGTTTGCTATAATATTTTGTTTGATAAGTTATTACATATAAAAAAGAGGAGATAATTAAAAGGAAGAATGATGTACAAATCCATGTTCATATGAAAAAGAATTTACTGATAAAAAATACATTTTGCACTGTTGTACCGTACATGAATTGGCACATGATTAAAATTAAATTTACCTTCAAAAATAGATTACATAAAGTGATCACTAGAGTAACATTTACATCCTTACCTGCTTCCCTCATCGAGTCTGTTTTTTTTTTCTCAACTAAATATGCGAACCAGAGACTCCCAATATCATCTCCTTGGCTTCTCCTTGTTCAACTGCATCGCCGTCTAAATCATCGAAATGAACTTTTCGGCGCACGTTTTTCTCTTACGTAAACTGCTGTCTGTCGGGCGATTTGTATCTCTAAAAATGACAAACCGAGTTTCATTTGCGCACCGCTTCCGTCCGATTACCAC